TACTCAGCAGGGGGCTTGGTCGACTCACCGACCTACAGCCACTAAGGACGACCATGGAGGCTGGAATGGCCCGTTTCCTGTCATCCGTAACGTGCCTGAACGAGGACGCGTCGTCGTCAAGGCAGGATCGCGCGAGGTAATTGTACTGTATCCTGATGCTCGCCACACGTTCTACATTGAATGCCTTCTTACCAGGGAACTTGGCATGGACAATATGGCCATGCAAACCGTCCTTACATATGTGGCACATATTGGTGCAGAGAAACCTGCCAAAGTCTTTGGCTATTCTCCAGACTACAATGAAAACCTCAATCTTTCGGACGACAGCAAGTTCCACCCGCGCGTACACCTTGCACTGCAGTATCTCGTGCGAAATTATTTCCGAGTTGAACGTGTAGTAGCCGTGAGATTTGCCAAGAACGTGTCAAATCTACCTGCGGTAAAGTACGCCACCCGGTCTACACTTATCCACTACGACAACGATGTTAACCCAGCCTTCCACTATTCTGAGTGCGTGGGCACCGGCCTGAACATCTTTCAAATCACTGGTAGCACTCACTCCAGACTCATCCAGCGCCTGACGTCACAAGTTCTTTCCCTAGGATTTCATGGCGACCTTGCCAAGTATCAGCACTTGGGCACAACGTCTGGAGAACACGACCAGCCTGGAGACATACCTCCACCAGACACCCCCGGTGCTTCATCACCAAGTGAAGGTCGCCTGTCCACAATCTACGAAGAAAGCGAGGAACATGACATCGAGGCTATGATGATGGAGGAGTGGTACGACGAGTTACGCATGGACCTTCATCCCACAACGGCTATCGCTGACCATCTCTACTGCGTCCCAACAACTATGCTGCCTGACCAATGTGTCTTGGTCTCAGCATCCGTGGGCGAGGAAGAGACCGCAGTGTCGGAGATGCTCGGAGACGAGCCTGAACTACAAGAGCCCTGTCTTAATTCCTATGCTCGACTACGCCTGACTAGGGCTACTCTCTTGACAATGATGAACATGGTCCTTATGTGGAGTTATGTTTCACACCAGAAATGTCAAAAGTAGTGTTGGACCAGACCCAACTTGCAAAGCTTGAAACTGACATGGTCGCAACGATGAGAGTGCATGTATCATCGGCTGCTAAACGTGCTGTGGTAGTCAAGGAAGACGACCTACTTACCAAAGCCGATATAGCAACACATCCTAAAGAGGGTAGCGAAGCTTTGTACACCGAACTCAAGATCTGGCTTGACAACCGGTGCTTCGAGATGTATGACCTATCTAAAGCTTCCAACATCATGACATCCAGATATGTATACAAGTGGAAGTTTGTGAAGGCAGGCACCAAGAACGTTAAAACCATCCGTCTCAGACTTGACCTTCGTGGATTCATGGACGCGGAGGCGTTCGATGTAGAAACCTTCTCAGGAACTGCTCGAAGACAGTCCCAGAGGCTCCTGGCAAGTGAGGCGGCATGTCATCCAGAATGGATCTTAGCATCTATGGATATCGACAAAGCGTTCCTCGAAGGTCTGACCTATGAGGAATTTGCTCATGCCACCGGCGAGGAAACTCGAATGGTTTGCTTCGCTCTTCCACCAGGAAGTGCCCAGGTGCTTCGTGCACTACCAGGCTTCTCTTCTCACGATGAAAGCCGACACTGTCTCGGGTGCCTCAGGCCAGGAACGGGCGCAAAGGACGCTCCAAGAGCGCCCCCCCTCAAGCTTCGTACGACTGCGCGAGCCATAGGCCTCGCACCGACAAGTTACGATCCTGATTTTGAATTTAGTCAGGATCTGTTAACAGCAAAACATGCCGACGATATCATTGCGACAGGCCTAGAGAAAAACGTAGATGACTATGTACAACGTGTCGAAAAGGTGCGTGGAACATGCAAGCTCAACAAACATTATTATACGAACTGCGCCGTTCGCTACACTAAGAATGCACAAGGGGATGTGATCATGGATCAGGACGAGTACAGTAAACAACTACGTCCTATCACACACCCTGAACTTACTGGAGCGGCGGCAGACGCCAAAGCTACCAAACTCATCACCGACATGTTCGTTAGCCTGCGAGGAGCTCTCGCCTATGCCCTTCTTACTCAAGTCTGGCTTATGGTGCACGTGGTCTCTCTCCAGAAGATCCAAGAGCCCACCAACTTACCAGTCAGACGACTGAATGCTGTGGCGCGAAAGTTGATCAGCAGTCCGAAACGCATCACCTTCCCTCGGATGAAACCGACGAGCGAAGTAGACATACGCAGTGATTCGGGGCATCGGAAGCTCACCGGGGAGGAGGACGATGAAACCAAGGGCTACGGCATTCGTGGGGCTAACGTATTACGGCGAGGAAACTCGCCTCAAGGCAGATCCGTCATTCACCTTTGCGACGGACTATGTAAATCACACCGGCTGCAGGTGAGGTCCAGCTATGCCGCTGCGGCACTTGCAGCTGCACGCAATCTTGATGAATGTTGCCCCACGCTCATCACTCTCCACGAGCTCAAGGCAGGGGCACTTACTCCACGACAACTACGAGATATGCGTGAAGTTGGAGGCCTAGCCATCAAAGTATCCCTTACTATAGACGCTGAGTTTGTATACAAATCGTTATCCAGCAAAGATCTTAAGATACCGACGGAACGGACTTTGCTGGGACATATCAGCTGGATACGTGAGCTCATGGATATAGGTATAGTGCATAACGTGCAGTGGTGTGATACTAGAGACATGACCGCAGATGGGCATACAAAGGGGAGTATCGATCGAGAGTTGCTTTTGGAAGTGATGCCAGGCACGCAGTCATTTAAGTATGACGTGAAGCAGTTTGTTCCCTTTCGTGGTCCTGAGGACAGAAGTAAGCCTAAGTCGAATCAGTTTTAGTCTGTCCTTGCTGCCCCCGCGGTCCAGTTTGCCAGCACGGGCGCCGAATGCAGAGGCGCCCTCCTAGCCGCTCGCAAGGGGCTATCCTGTGTATGCGCAGAATGCCGATGCGCAAGGGGCTATCCTGTGCATGCGTGAAAATGCATTGCGAGGAAACTCGCCGGCGAATAATCTCGCCCTACAGTCTGGTGTTAGGCCAGACTGTGCGCACTGCTTTTCTTGCAAACAGTTGCGCGCGCGGCCTTTCTAGAGCTTAACGGCTGCGCGGCTATACTCTCCGCCCCCTCCCCCCCCCGACTTTCAGGGTAGCTCCTTCGGAGATGTTATAGAGGATCGGGAGTATAGCCCGCGCGCCGTTGCCTTTGGCTCAAGGCACGCGCGCCCGATTTGCCCGGACACTGCTTGCGTTCGCTATGTGATGGAAAGATCATTACATCGATCTTATCCTATCTTATCCATCCACTCCCCATATTGAACTAACACAGCATGGAATTCGATGCTATTTGACTTACCGTAGTCATTTCAGACTCAGTCGGCCCGGATTAGTAGGTCGACCCTGTCAGCTCAAGCGTACCCTTGTGTCCTGTGCCTGGCGACACGTGCCTTCTTACACTCCTATGGCGATGTGGCCTTTGGAAGGGTCAGGTGTCCTCTCGCGCGTCCTGTCCAATCAGGGCCGACTGCAAGGAGGAGGGGTCAGACACGAACCAACCGTCTTGATTCGCGCCTCTTTGTCGAATTGTTTTCTCAGCACGGGGCCCGAAAACCCCTGGGCCGACGGAGGAGACAGCCGGCGCCGAGGGCGCGAGCACGATCCGTCCGGAAACTGCAAGGGTCTGGACGCCCGAAATGGGCACGGAAAGAATGGGTACGATGCCCAACAGCAGTTCCTGTTCATTCTGAACAGGATTCGCTGTCCACGCCGCCGCGGCCTGTGTCCATTCGAGACAGAAGACCGCCTGCCCAACAGCGGCCGCTGTTGGTTTGGGACAACGTTTGTTGTTGGGCATTGTACCCATTCTTTCGATACCCATTTCGGGTGTCCAAAAAGGGGTTCCCACGGGGCAGCCGTGCTCGAGCAGATCGCGGCGGTGCCCGGAGCGAGAGCGCAGCGCGGCGAGCAGGGAGGACAGAGAGCGAGGAAGGGAGGAAGGGAGGGAGGGGGGGGGACGAGGCATGGAGGGAGGACAGAGCAAGGGGAGGGAAGGGAGGGGAGGAGGCAGGGGAGGGGGGAGGAGGAGGGGAGGGGAGGAAGAAGAGAGAGATGCCGGGGGGAAGGAGACGGGACAGGGCCCGGCGCCGACGCACGCGTGGCCTTCTGGCGCGCGCCCGTGGACAAAAAGTGGACGCCATGCTGATCGCGGCTCTCTCAGGAGAGGAAAAACACACACAGACACAATTAATATCGTCGCTTCCCCCGAAACTATGGGGAACTAGGAGGAGTGGGGGGGAAGGGAAGACAAAAGCCTGGGAAAAGATGGGAAAATATGGGAAGTGGGATATGGGAAAAGATGGGGAAATATAGGAAACTATGGGAAAACAGGGGGAAGCCTTTTGTTAGTGTGTCTTTCTTTGTGTGTCCCGGGGCCCCTTCGCTCTCGACGGGGCGGCGCGGAGGCGCGGAGAGCGCCGCTCGTCGCGCAGCGCGGGGGGGGGGGGGGCGCGCTGCGCGGACTCGGGGGGCCCAGCCTGTCCCCGGCTGCGGGAGCCGTGCGGGGCCTCCTCCTCCTCCCTCCTCCTCCCTCCTCCACCTCCTCCCTCTCCTTCCTCCCTCCTCCTCCCTCCTCCTCCTCCTGCTGCTCCTCCTCCTCCTCCTCCTCTCCTCCTCCTCCTCTCCTCCTCCTCCTCCTCCTCCTCCTCCTCCTCCTCCTCCTCCTCCTCCTCCTCCCCCTCCTCCTCCTCCTCCCCTCCTCCTCCTCCTCCTCCTCCTCCTCCTCCTCCTCCTCCTCCTCCTCCTCCTCTCTCCTCCTCCCCACCTCCTCCTCCTCCTCCTCCTCCTCCTCCTCCTTCTCCTCCTCCCCCACCTCCTCCCTCCCTCCCTGGACGATCGTTCCTGGCCAGGCCCAGGTCCGCGACCGACCGACAGAAGGCCTCCAGACAACTCTCCGCTGAAGTGTGGACAAGACAGCTCAGGAGCGCACGGCGTGCGAGAGCTGTAGTTTCACAGACCGTGCGACACCGAAGTTCGTGACATTTTCGTTGCATTCCCCAGTGCATCTTGTGGGACGGAGCCTGCCCCACGCAGAGCCCCCACAGAATCGTGAATCGTGTCGCCGAGCACCCCACCCCAACCGAGGACCCCAAGGACGAGCCCATTTGCAGCATCATTTGCAATGATTCTCCACATAACATCGGCGCGGCCAGGCCCTTTCCCTTCCCTCCGTCAGCTGAGGGAAGGAATCGTTTGGAGGCAAGATTTTGGCCGCGCGTTTTGATTGGTGCGCTACTAGCACCAGTTGCACGAGCTCGAGTATCTGCACGAGCTCGAGTATCTGCGGTTAGAGGCTCCACCGCATGAGCCCGACGTACATCGTTATCATCGTTCCCCTGACGGGGGCGCGCCGCCGCTCGGCGCGGTGGCGTCGCTGTTGCTGCTGCTGCGGTCGCTGCTCCTTCTCCTCCCTCCTCCTGCTGCGTTCACCGTCCCCCTCGTATTTGTTTGTATGTTTGCTTCGCTTCTGAGGCTTGCGCCTTTCCGCCGCCGCCCCTGCTCCTGGTCTGTGCCGGGCGGGCCTGGTGCCCCATGGCAAGCTCAGGCTCAGGGCTGGGTGCCCCTCCTGGTTTTGAGGGGATGGCGTGCGGAATAAGAGTTATGTTGCCCCTGGCTCACGGGGTGTGAGCCCATCAGCAGAACGGCGCGCAGACTGCTGCAATGCCGAGTCCGACCAACCGACCGACCGACCACCTCCTCATCCCTCCTCCTCCTCCTCCTCCTCATCCTCCTCCTCCTCCTGCTCCTCCTGCTCCTCCTGCTCCTCCTGCTCCTCCTCCTCCTCCTCCTCCTCCTCCTCCTCCTCCTCCTCCTCCTCCTCCTCCTCCTCCTCCTCCTCCCCCACCTCCTCCTCCTCCCCCTGCGCCTCGTGAGGGATGCTCTGGAGGTTCTCGGGGTGCCCCTGGAGATTCCGAGGGCGCCCTGGGCCAGGGACGCCGCCGAGGAAGCCTGGGCCGGCCGGGCGCAGAGGCGGGGGCATTGGGAAGGCGAGTGGGCGCACGAGGTCAGGAGGGACAAAAAAAACACAGACACGATTAATCGGCGACCCCCAGGAAAATATCGAAAAATATGGGAAGTGGGGGGAAGACAAAAACCTAGAAATGATGGGGAAATCAGGGGAAACCTTTTATTTGTGTCTATTTATTAGTGTGTCCCAGGGCCCCTTCAGTCGTCTGCTGCATGCTGCTGGTGTCTGCCCCGCTGCCTGGCGTGGTGCTTGATCCCTGCCCACGGCGGCGCCTGGAACATCAGCTACATGAGTCGATCTGCTAACCCTCACTCGACTACTTCCCCTTTCGTCCGACCCGCCGGCGCACACTCGTTTAAGAGTTTGCAGCAGCTTCAAGAAGCACGCAGGGTGGGGCGTTTTCAAAATGCGGTGTGCGCGGAACGCCGCGCAACATCTGTTGAATTGGATGTAACAGTTTCAGGAGTGAAGCACGGGCCGTTTTCAACATGTGGCGGTTATCGTCTTAGCGCCACACGCACGCGCCTCAAACAAATGCCGCACATTCAAGGATGGAGGGGGGTCGTTCTCAAAGTGTGCTTTATCGCCGTAGCTCCACGCACATTCGTGGTCAACGTGCGCAGCAGTTTCAAGGATGGTGGGTGGTTCTTTAAAACGTGGCGTTCGCTGTAGCGCTGCGCACGCGCGTTTCAAAATCCCGTTGCAGTTTCCAGGATGGAGTGCACGTTTCAAAATGCGGTTGTCGTTCACGCGCCGCGCACATTGTTTCGAAAGGTTGAAGCAGTGTCGAGCATGAAAGAGGCGCCAGCTTCAAAATGGTTTTCTCGCCTCAACGCCGCGCACGTTCGTGCTAACAACTTGCAATTGCACGAATAATGGATCGCGAGTCCTTTTCCTAATGGTGCGCTCGTGTGCGCGCCTCGCCCACGCTGTATATAATAGTTCAACACGTGCAAGGATTGGGCGCAGGTTGGTTTCAAAGAGAGCATTCGCTTTTTCAAAGCAACATCCCGAAGAATTTGAGGCAGTTTTGTTAACATGGAGGTTTTGCTCGAGGCTGTTGACTCAAAAAGTCCCCTCCTCCTCCTCCTCCTCCTTCTCCTCCTCCTGCTCCTCCTCCCTCCTCCCTCCTTCTCCTCCTCCTCCTCCTCCTTCTCCTCCTCCTCCTCCTCCTCCTCCTTCTCCTCCTCCTGCTCCTCCTCCTCCTCCTCCTCTCATTCCTCCTCCTCCTCCCATTCCTCCTCCTCCTCCTCCTTTTCCTCATCTTCCTCCTCATCTCCCTTCTCCGTTACGGACCCCTCTTTCGCCGCCCCGCCCCCCTCGCACGCGAGAGGCTCTCACGGTCGTACCCGTTTGCGCCGTGCCCGCCGCATCGGCGCCCCCGGCGGAGCCGCCCGTGTTCGGCAGCGGCCCGGGCGCCGGCGAGGAGTGAGAGTTGCTGGCCTCGAGCCTCATCCCTCCTTCCCTCGCTCCTCCCTTCTCCTTCCCTCCCTCCTTTCCTCCCTCGTCTCCTCCCTCCCTCCCCTCCCTCCCTCCCCTCCCTCCCTCCCCATCCCTCCCGCATCCCATCACTTCAGCTCTTTCTTGCCCACTCCTCCCCCTCCTCCCCCTCCCTCCCCCTCCCTCCTCCCCTTCCCTCCCTTCCCTCCTCCCTCATCCCTCCCGTCTGCCTCCTCCTCCCCCTCCCCCTCTACCTCCTCCCCTCCTCCCCCTCTACCTCCCCTTTCCTCCCGCCCTCCTCCCTCATCCCTCCCGTCGACCTCCTCCTCCCCCTCCCCCTCTACCTCCTCCCCCCCTCCCCTCCTCCTCCCTCCTTTCCTCCTCCCCCGCCAGCGCTTGGCGACAGCGGCGGACGCGGCGCGGAGGTCTTGGGCCCCAGGCTGTTCGGGTGAGGAGTCGGGGATTCCTGCTCGTGCGCGGCGTGCGCTCGCCCCCTTTCCCTCCTCCTCCTCCTCCTCCTCCTCCTCCTTTTTCCTCTTCCTCCTCCGCCTCCTCCTCCTTTTCCTCCTCCTCCTCCTCCTCCTCCTCCTCCTCTTCCCCAGAATCCCCCTTCCCCCCCCCCCATGGGAGAAGTATCGGCTTGGTTGAGATCTGGCCCAGTCCCGCGCAGCCGTGCTCAGTGGGGGACGGACGTCGACGGCCTCGAGCCTCGACCCTCGACTCGAAGGAAATGACGGCATGATGAGCATAAGCGTTCGGAGTTCGGCGCGCTGCGCTTTTCTCGGATCGGCGCCAGGAGGAGGAAAAGGTACCCCTACCCCTACCCTTGGCCCGCTTTTCCCTTTTTGGGCCTCCTGGGCGGCCCTCGTCGCCACCGCTGGATTCGCTTCGAAATTCCGGTCCGAACGCACCCCAGGAGAGGTCCAGGGAGCAGCGGTATCGATACCTTTCGGTTTCCCCGCTTGTTGGCGCGCCCCGCGCGCCAGGGACAGGGATACCCAGCGCAGAGCCGAGGAATCCGCGCTGGACCTCCGAGAGCTTATGCTCGGGCGGTTGCTCCTCTGGGCCTCGAGCCCCGACGCCCTCGACGACCGCGATGGCGGCGGCCTCGACGACCCTCCTCGGCACGAAGCCTGCGGCCGCCGATCCTCGACGCCCTCGACTCCCTCTCTCTCTCTCGGCCGTCACGCGCTCCCCCAAACCTCAGTGCCTGCACTTCGGGGCCCTCCCTTGCTGCTGGTCTGTGGAGCCGGGCCCGCCACAATTGGGGGAGCTGTGGCCCTTACCCCCCCTGGGGGGCCCATCGATTTCGACACCCCTCTCGAGAGATCGTCGAGACGATGGGTTCCCCCACGAAAGTAAGGACCACAGCTCCTCCAGTTATGGCTGGTCGGAGAGCTGGGCCCGCGCGTCGGACCGGCGCCTCCCGTCGCCTGGGCCCGTGTGCCGGCCCGGCGGCTCCGTGCCAGGCGTCGCCGCCCCGTGGCCACCTCGTCGCCGCCCGTCGCCGTTGCGTCGCCGTCGCCGTCGCGTGGCGTTGCCTTCCGTTGTGTACTCAAGGGCTCCCTCGAGGGCGCGAAGTTATTCGCGCTTCGCGGTCCTCGTTCCTTCTCCTCCTCCTCCTCCTCGTCCTCCTCTTCTCCCCCTTGGGGGGCGGCGCGAGAGCGCGAAGTTATTCGCGCTTCGCGCAGCGCGAAGCGCGAAGTTGGGAGCCCTTGTACTGTTTTGCGCTGCCTCTCGCTGCGCCCCACCGCACAGCACTGCCTGGCCCTGCGCTGCCCTGCGTCGCATTGCGGTGTTTTGCGCTGCTAGCCTTGCTTCGCAGTGCTGCGCCGTGCTTGGCATTGCCCTGCGCTGCCACTGCGCAGTGGAGATGCAGGCTTACAGTTGCCCAGGGCAGATCGAACATATGTCAAGTGCCCTCGACGAGTACGTTACTGTACTCTTACCACATAGATTGCCTCACGTAGCTTGTACCACAAAGCTCACGCCACACAGCTGAGTGATGAGTACGTGTAGCTCATGCCACATATATAGCACCGCATAACTTGCACCACGTAGCTCGTGTCAACAGACGTGAGTATGCTAGCTCTTACCTCACACATCGCATCACGCAGTTTACACCACAGAGCTCACACCACATAGATGAGTACGCCAGCTCCGACCACATTGATCGCGCCACACAGCTTGCACAACATGAATGCAACACACATAGATTGCACCAGATATATGTGTTCCGCTGCATACATATCTACGTTTATTCCTCTTCCTATATTTTTACAAGCCCGGGCGGGGGGAAACCCTTCCCCCCCCCCCCAAAAAAAAAAAAAAACGGACTCCCGGGATCTGGGGCTTTGGGAACTTCCAGACGGGCCTCGAAGCGGCCCACGGTCCTCGCAGGGTGTTTTGCCAAGCCTTCCCAGCACATCCAGGGCGATCAGGGGGGTCATCGGAGACGTCCCAGAGACCCCCAAGACAGCACAAGAGCGCTCCAAGAGTGACCGACGTGACCTCAAGATGGCCCAAGAGGCCTCCAGGACTCCAAGAGCAATCCCAAGAAGGCCCCCCGAGGCAAAAATCATTGATTTTCTGTTGGTTTTTGGTGAAGTCTGCGGTTCTCCTCTATTCGGCTTCCCGACGTTCCGAGACGGCGGTCTTCTGGGCGTTCGAAGCTGCCTGGGGGGCTCCATGATCGCCCCACAACCATCCGAAAGGGCTTCCAGGCAGTCCAAGAGAGCCCCAAAACGGCACAACACGGGTCCAAGATGGCCCTCAGAGAGCCCCATGGCGGCCCAAGATGGCCCAAAGACACCCTCCGAAGCATTCCGAATCGTGACCCGGTCATTCAGGGAGACCGCGGTTGGAGGCAGGGTGGCCCGAGGAAGCCCCCGGAGGCCCCCAGAATTCGCCCAGGAGGCTTCCATAGGCCTTAAGAAAGCCTAAAACAACTTTTGTGAGGCCCCCAGAGGCTCTCCAAGGAGGAGCCTCCGCAAAAAAGAGCTGAGGAGGATGGGGAGTGTGCGCAGGATATGGCGAAAATAAGGAAACAGAAGCACGGAGAAAGGATAACGAATAACATTATTATAGCGGTGATGCCGGAAAAGGCAACAAGGAGTTATCGCTAAAATGTCGGCTTGACCTTCCTGCTATTTCGCCGGCATACCAAACTTCAAGGACCACGGCGCATGGCGCGAAGCGCCACTGCACTCTTGTATATATATATATAATATACATATACACAAATGTATGTATATATTGCTCCACACATGCTGTACCACATGCC